GTACCGTCTTTTACTATAACATTGCTTTATGTAGAGATTGTAATCGTTATCCTCTTATCTCAAGGCTAACATTGAATGAGACACAACAGAAATTTGAAGCTATGACATCTATCCGACGAAAAGAAGTTATGAAAATGCTTGAGAAGGAAATGTTGCCATCCTTCGCCACTTTCATAGCTCATTTCGGTTACTGTAATCGTGTCTGCGCTGCTGATGTTGCGAGAGGATTAGCGGGGAGGTAAGGCACTTCATAGTAGCGCTGACGTTTTCTAGCAAATTATTATGATGCCTGTATCAACTTCTGAGTTCAGGTTAGAAACACCAAAGCGAACTCCGCTCGTTGAGCGATTTGAGTCTGCTCGTGGTATTTTACGTTGTTTTATGAAATCTGGTCAGGATTCTGGACCCCTCGTCAAATCGTTTGAGTTCTACAAGGTCAGTAGTAGCCTTTCCATATTCTGTAATCATGACATGGATGTTAACCCCACTGAACATATCAGATTATTAACTTAACTCACTAGAGTAACTGAATATATCACATTAGTAACTTAACTCACTAGAGTAAGTGAGTGAAATGTTCAGATTGGTCTCGAATGCGTTTGGGCGTTGGTAGCAGCCGCTGTTAATCAGCAAGAAATCCTTCCTGTTGGACCTTTCTATCTTCACTCATCGACGCACAGCTTAGGTTCGCTACTATGTAATTCCTCTCCTTTTAACTTTTGATACAATCGCTACCTTAAAAAGCTGGTGGTTTCCATGAAGAGCAAAGACGTAATCAAGATTCGTCGTTCTAAATGTGTATTTCTTGCGTAATGTTTATATTTGGTGAGGTGGCCTTTTTGCAGATGATATAATGGATTCAAGACATTTTCTCTTTCTGTTCACTACGTTTTTGCAACGTGCATTTTGCTCAATGAGGCGAAATCGAGATAGAACGACGAAACCTCTTGTGGTGAGCTTAGCGCTATCCGGATATATGCAAGGTTGGCACGTTGTCACTGGTGTAATGCCCTTAGATACAGTATATAAGGATGCGCAATTGATGAGGTATATTGATGTGTGTCACTGTCTTAACGCTGAAGATAAACGCAAAAGATATCCTTTTAGTTTTATGGGACGTGCCTTTGAACGAGCAGCGGAACAAGCTAGTCTAGACATTCGGCGGGACAGTTTTGATCCAAATGGTAGGTAGATTATGAAGTCAAATTGTCTTTTTTAAATATCATCTTTTTAGTGGTTTATATTCGATCCGAGGATCGATCTCGTTTCTTCGACTTACTTCAAGCTGTGATGGAGATTGAATCCTAGCGAATAGCGATATTAGCACGCATCCAACATAAAACCAAAACATGTTACAGTGTTCCGTTTGTGATACAATGAACCCTGCTTTTACCTTGATCTTTGAACTAAGATTAGTCAATCTATATACGATACTAGCTTGCAACCGGCTACGCTCGGCTGTTTTAAGTCAATAGTTCTCTGTTTTAAATTAATTTATTTTTTCTGAAAGGAGCACAGTTTAGTGTTTAAGATTTCCAGCACAAAAATTCTCTCTTAGTAAACCTAGGTTGAAAAAAAA